AAGTGTGCGTCCGTCCGTCCGTCTGGACACTGACTCATCGCCCCAGCGACGTACCTATCATCATCTATACGATATATTATTCACGTGTGTGTTCTTTGTGTCTATTATAAATTTATCGCATTTTTATTTTGTACGTATTTTACCAATAACTCTTTTAGGTATTTACGGTGAATCCGTCCTTAGATTTATGCTGAAGTTCATCGGTGACAAGCACTCATTCTTTATTCATCCAATAGACATAATAATAGACAAGCATCTTCCTTCGTTCAGTCAATAGAAAGAAAACGGTGTCAACGAGAACAGAATGAGCAGAATAAAATTGATAATGCAACTAGATTTGGGCCGCGACACGTTTCTCTTTTCTCCTATTAATTAATAGATAATGTCATTCTTATTTAAAAATAAGATAAAGCTCGCGATTTGCTTGTGTATATCACCGGTTTATATAGGTAGTTGCATGATTCTGTGAAATCAACTCGTGTTGTTTTCACGTTTATCTCTAATAATAATAGCATCCTTTCTCTATTTTCTTCTCTCTAATTTTGTCTTTATCTATAATATTATATATTTTCTCTACTGTCTAATCCAGTCTCTCTTAATCGTCTATCTTTCCTCGCTTTTGAAGCTATTATAGTTCGCGAAAGCGATAGATAATCGCAGGAAAACATTCGCCATTTGCAGATAGGAGTGTGCACTTCTGCGAATATGGATAAAACGAGGAGACTATGATTTATTACACACTTTGAGTGTTGAAAACACTCAAAGTGTGTTCAGGTCAGGAAATACCAGAAATTTAATATAACGACCATTATACATTTGCATTATTATTCTTTTTGTTTCTGCGTATAGTTTGATATTAAAAAGATTCCACAATGACTTCGATTAAAAAATCGTAAGATTAATTTTTGAGATATCTGACGAAAGACAGTCGTGATTTATGACGAGTGGTGGCCTTCTTAATGCCATCGAACTCTATAAAGCTATTGTTCTATCTGCATCTCTCTTCGTTGCCCACGCCCGAAATTAACGGCAGCCTGTTCCTCCAGTGCTGACTGTTACGCTTCCTAGCGAGGTCTCCCCACCATCCGTGTCGCGGCGAGAAGAAAGACGCAACTCCAGGCCGTAACGAGCGGCTAGCTCGAAAATCGCAATGGATTCTACCAACGTCGTTTAAGCCGCAAGTGTACAAAACTGGTAGCAGCAGCCAGTTATTCGTTAACTGTCGTTCTATTTTCATCAAAAAAGGAGGAATAATCGATGCAGCGAAAAATCTCGGTCATCAGAGATGATCTTGAAGATTCAATTATTGTATCATACGTTTTGTCACGCGTTGACCGAGAATTTTCAGTTGAATTGAAAAGAGTAATGTGGTAAATAAATTTAGTAGGGCAAAATTTGAAAGAGTCAAGTCTAGTGGCCCTAGTGCATAATTGAAAAGCACAGGCAAACCTGGGAAACAGCAGAGAAAGAACAGTTTTGTTAAAGCGGCGTCTACAATGAGATTTTAAGGCGTAAAAGCTTTAAGCTTTAAATCATAAGAAATTGTCATCATAATCGATTATTCTCTTCAAATTTAATTTTGGATAATTTCTAAGGCTTAAGGTTTAAAGCTTAAATTACGTACAACAAAAATGTATTTACTTAAAGCTTAAGTTAATATCTAAAATTTTAGCTGGATTTGAAAATAACTTTATTACACGATTAAAATAATTATGAAAGACGTTCAAGCACGAATAGTGTTGTAAAAAATTTTGACATTCTAGCAATTATCTTGAACGTTCTACATAATTATTTTGATTACAATAAAATTATTTTCAGATTTGTATCTAGCTAAATTTTTAGATACCTTATCAAAATTGTTCTTTCCATAAAACAGATTTCAGCCTATCAGAAGTCATGTATTCTGATAGTTACGGTTTCCGATTGGTTGAAATCTGTCCCTATTAATTGTGCTTTTCATTGTCTTTAAAGCTTTAATGTGTCGAATGAATCTAATAGAGTAAATATAAGATTCGTATTTTGCTCTTCCGTTATCTTTTGTTGAACAAACAGACGGGTATCATTTTTGTATATTTAATGGATTATTAATAGATAAGCATTCAAAGTCAGCATTCTCACAGTCAGACTTTGATTACTCAGATACACTATGCAATCATCGTTGCTTTTCTAGTAAATATATATAGCTTGTCATTAGTAGTTAGTAGTTATTTGTAATTAACCAAATTTTCTTTTTTCATCCAACCAAGATTTCCTAAGATAGCAAAGGACTAGATGAGAGAGAATCTATTATATACATATATATTTCACTGCTATTACAAGATCGTCATACTGATCATACATTTCTAAATTCCATAATTCTCGTCCCTGATTTCCAAACAGAATTTCATGATTTTCCCTGATATTTCAATAACATTTTGAAATTTGTGTTTTTATCCTGATTTGAAAACTATTAAATATTTTGTTGGAAAAGCAATTTAATATAGCAAAGTTAATTGCGGTTAATGTTGCTGACACTGCTTGCATTTAATATTGTTAAAATTTAATTGGTAGTATTCCAAAACTTCGTAGGTGTGATGAACATTAAACTTTTTTAAAGTCAAGAATTCTAATTTTCCAGACAATTTGCAAAATTCCCTGACTTTTTCCTGATTTCTCTGACCATTTTCGATTTTCCTGATTTGCGACAACCCTGTGTTAGTCGAGAATAACAAATGTCGAAGCGAACGAGGCTCGAAATCGACGATGTGACATCGATTTACATAAAATATTAACAGCATTACGAAGGCACGAAGCGCGAATCGCGCCAGAATTAGCTTAGCTAGGCGGAGTCAGGGGTATATTTTGCGACTTCAATTGCGCCGATCTATGGGGGTTTTGGGACAGAAAATGGAGGGACAGACAGCGTGGACGTGCAAGGGGAGAAAAAACACATACGTTTCGGATAAATATAGTCTCGAGGTCGCGATAAAGAGAAAGGAAGGAGTTCAGTCACGAAGCATGGAGAGGAGCACCAGGATTCGAGGAACAGCCTCCTCTCCCTCGTCGGTCGTGGCCGTCGTGAATTTCACGGCCTTCGAGGACGGCACGTTTGCTCCTCTCGAGCGATTGCGGCCTCCGTCGTGTCATGCATTGTCTCGTAAACGCCGTCACTTTAAACACAACTCGCGCAGCGGTCAGCGATAATACTTATCCGCTGCTCCGAGTTCTGTAATCTGTAAACGACTGTTTGCGACGATACCAACGGAATTGTGTTTTCGACTCGGCGACTCCGTTCCCTACCACAATGTCGCGTCACGACGGCTTAATGACGGCTTAATGATCCTCCATTTTCTTCCGTGCTAAACCTCTAGAAGAGTTTTTCTACGAAGAAGAGGTCGGCGAAGCCTCGTTTAACTTTAACTAATGTTTTTATGGCAACGCTCCTACGTCTCTATAGTATCCCCCTCTAATGACCGTTGTCCGTGCATCTTTAAATCGATAGCTCGGAGCTAGCACGACCAATGTCACTGTCTGACTCCGCGAACGAAGGTCCTATATATCCCGTGCTCGTACAGCACAACGGTCGGGGTCCCCTTCTTTCTCCACGCTGCAGAATCGACATCGATTGCGGCCCATCGAAATTTCCGCACGGACGATTCCATGATATTCTCGTATTCTTTTTTTCTCCCTTTTACTTTTTTTACGACGCTTCTCTTTCCTCTCCTCTCCGATTCTCGGGATTCTCGCGACGAGAGAGAGCTGTCGCGAGGAGCGCGACGGCGGACCGTTAGCCGGCGAGTTCTAATGACGGTGGATCTTAGGGCCAGCTGATTAGTGCCGTCTGGTATTGATTTTCCGATGACGGCCGCGCGGCGCATACTGAGAACTCCCAGCAGGACGACGACGCACACGCGCACACCACCATCACCGCTGCCGCCGTCGCCGCCACCTCCGCCAACACCATCACGCATCGTCACTAACCATGCCGCCGTCGCGCTCTCGCGCGCGTAACGAGTCATGGGACCACGAACACGCCGTGCGAGAGCGAGCGGGCACACACCGATGCACATCTACAAATTCATGATACACCATTCGCTCGCGTCTCACGCGTGCATATCGTTCGGAAAGAGAATGCGCGCGCGAGAGAGAGAGAGAGAGAGAGAGAGAGAGAGAGAGAGAGAGAGAGAGAGAGAGAGA